ACCTGGTCTTGCCTACATGTGACTCCAGACCCACAGCAATGTGTGGTTGACTCTCATAAATGCTACCTAGCCAGCAATGCCCTCATCCCATGAATGATTAAAGGATAATACTTACTGGAGTTGCAGCAGGACTTTATCAAGTTTCTGAAGAAGAGTCAAACTGGATTTGAAATGTTAACTCTTTCTTTTTCTTTTTCCACAGATGCTGCCAGAGCTGCAGGGTTTCTCCAGCACTTTCTGTGTTTGTTTCAGGACTGATAAAATTCACTTATCAAGAGATGAAAGTAGCAGGAAGTTTTCTCCTTAGAGCAGAGAAGGTTACTGGAAGATTTAGTAGAGGTGTTTAAAGTCATGAATATTAATAGAATAAATAATGAGGAGCAGTTTCCACTGGCAGGAAGGTTAAAATCAAAAGGACCGGTTTATGTAATTTGTAAAGGATTCCTGGGAGAAATGAGCTGTGTTGTTTTTATGCAGAGAGTTTATAATCTGAAATGCATTGCCTGAAAGGATGGAATAAGCAGAGGTCAACCGTAACTTTTAAAAGGAGATTGGGTTTACATGTGACCAGAAAAATTTACAATGTTATATGGAACAAGACTGCATGATGGGTTGATTGCCCTTCTTCAATGTTATGCTAATCTATGATTCATTGGGCCTCTCAAGGGCAAGTTGGGAGAGGCAGTAACTGTTGGCCAGCAGCAATGCCCATGTCCCACTAGTGAATAAAACAAAAACAACTCAGTCCTTGCAAATTTCTTCATGATTGTATATTTCTATGTCGAAGCTGTGAAGTAGTACAATTTGCCAAGTTCCAGTACTAAACAGAAAAAGAAACTATTTTGATGTATCTTTATCAAAATAACATGTTAGTACTTTACATCAGATATTTTGTTTGACTCATTTCAAGACCTATTATTAACATAGGGCTTATTCTAAGGAAGTGATGAAATTCAACCTAACAGTCACGCCCTCACAAAATCAAGGATTAAGCCTCTGTAAGCATTTTACTTCAATGTGATGGCACTTTAGTTTGTTCATTTAGTGGCATGATTCTGAAGCTTTTAAATTAAGTGTTCTTGAAATATGATAGATTAGTAAATAGCATGTAACAAGTTGTCGTACAGCCATTTGTTAGTCATACAAGCTAGAAAAGAAATCTCCAATTTACTTATTTTTTTCTGCTGCATGAGAAAAGATGGATAAAACTTTGTACCTTTCAGGTATCTTTGCAGTTTCTAAAGTATAAAGGATCATAGCAATTTTAGATAAAGGACATTCATCTGATTACACTGGTGCTAGCTTGACTTCAGAACTGTCTGCTTTATTTGCTGTACATGAATATCTTAATCTTATTTAATACTTTCTGAAATTCTCTCAAAAGTGATCTAATGGTAAGTTTCCACAAGAATTTTTCTAATTTCTTGCTGCAACTTCAGGAGAGGAACTATGGAAAGCCCAGAGAGTTGTCACAAATGTAATTGTCAATGTAAATAGGCAAGGGTGATGAAGTAGTGTAGATTAGTATCAGCAATGGCTGGGTCCCACTGCAGACTCTAATCTCACTGACAGGTCAGTACAGTACTGAGGACATCCATTGTTAAGACAAAGCCGCATCTGCTCTTATTGCTAGATATAAATTACTTTTTAATTGGTACTATTTAAATTAGACCGTGGAAGTTCTCAGTGCTCTGGCAAATATTTATCCAACAACCAATAACTAACATGCAATGTCTGGTTATTACCTCTTCTTTTGGGCGTTTTTTACGTTTATCCAAATTGACTGTTGTACTTCGTGTGTCACAAGACTCACCACTTTAAACATCCTAATTTAGTTCTCAAGCACTCAGGTCCATCCTGTGGTTATGAAAGATGCCTTACAAATGCAAGTTATTTCTTTTCTTAGAACATTTCTTCTTACATTTTAAAGACAAGCACACATGTATACAAATGCTTAAAAACCAAGTTTAGAGAAGGCAATCTGAAATAATCATGATGATAATTTTGCAACAAAATTTTTCGGAGGCCTTTTATGATGATCATTAGCTACCGATAATGGAAATGTTAGGGTTTAACTCCCAGCCATCTCACAGAAATATTCTTTGGAAGACATGGTGATGTAATCGCCATCATTAGAGGTGCAGGCTAATCCTTCGGGTCACGAGTTCAAATCCCCTCATGGAAGCTGCTAAAATTTGGATTGAATGAAGGCACTTAATTGTTGTTGTCACTGGTACGTGGGGTAGAATTGTGCTTGTGATGAATTGAGAAAACTAACTAAAGGGTCAAACTCCAGAAAAGGACAATGCAAGTTTCAAGTGAGGAAGACAGAAGGTGAGATAAACAAGAACTTTTGCATTGGACTTGGGTTTTTAAAGTAAACGAAAGAAAGAACTTGCTTGTAGGTAGCACCAACCATGAGTCTAAGGCAACCTAAAATACAGTGTGAGCAATGACGTACTCCTGTATATGATTGAATTGGAAAACCAGGTGAGCATTGGACAAGAGGGACAGTGTAATGATGTTTTACTGAGTTAATGAGGTGAATTTGGGACAACAACTCAAGGAAATTTGAGAAGACTTGCGGAGAGGAACCCTCCAGGAAACTCAGTGAAAATGTCACAGCCAATTTCTAATAAGATTCAGCCTGTAGCTCTTTCTGGAACGGTCATCTTGTGGTGTGCTCTGTGGTTAAATCTGTTCATTCACATTGAGGGCTTAAATTGTTTTTGCGAACAATGTTGCTAGTAATATATACTCATAACAGGGTGTCAAAGATGACAGAGAAACAACAGGCAAGGGCATTCATTTTCCTGGTACCGCCTCCTTGTGGCAGTTTGAAGGGAAATAAGATACCCACTGGCTACTTCCTACCTGATCACTCAGAATTCTCCTGGGAAAAAGGGACACACAGCAGGGAGGGAGCAGTTCTAAGACGTCTGAAAGCAAGAACTCAGGAGAAGAATGTTGTATGGGTTGGAGGGTGGGCTGGGTAAGGAAGCAAGAGTACACGATCACATCATCATTGGCTTGCTCATCACAACGGATGACAGGAATGGGGGTGAACTGGGAGCTGAGAAGGGCGATCGTCAGGAACTTGCCTTCAGTTCATCATAGTTGGCCCCGTGCTGCTGAGATCCATGTCCTCTAAAGAGGAGAGGAAATGCTGGTGCCTTTGTCACTTGAGTTCAACTCTGTACCCTTTGATCATTGCTACCAGGATGTCTGTGAATGGGTATTTGGTTGATGTACCTGCCATTGAGAATACTGGGTGAATGCTGAGGCAGTGAGAGCTGAAGGTAAGGCTGATATCATTGGCGGGTGTGAGGGCATTATCCTGGATATCAGGAGTGATTTCTGAACGCCAGGGACTGCTGTATGAAGGGAACATGGTGCATTGTGCAGTGTGAGAACCTAGTGAAGCAGTGGGTCATATGCAGATGGTCTGGAGTCAAGGCCCAGCACGGATTGAAAGCTAGGTGCTGGCGTGGACTGGGTTGGAAGGACTGTTGTTCTGAACTTTTTATTTCACTATTTTCTCATTTATTCCCACAATCTGTAATGCTGGGCTTTTTCTTTTTTATTTTTTTTTTCCTAAGAATTTGTACTGAAGAATCTGTACCTAGGTACCTTGTACCTAAGGTGGTGCCAAAAGTGGCAATTTGTAAACTTTTCACTGTACTTATTTGAGTACATGTGACAATAAAGCTAATTTAATCCACTGACATTGACCAATATGATCCAGACTTTGAGAGTTAATACTTGATCCCATTTCCCCTAAAGGTGCTCCTTCAGGGCCTTCTGCTTTCCCTCACCTGCCTAATGGCTTTTCTCCTCTTTCCTACCTCATCCATCACTAATGCCTCCAGTTCTGCATCTATTAGCCTGAACTCTCCTTGCGCAATTATGTACCTTTCCATTGTTTCATAGAATCCCTACAGTGTGGAAACAGGCCATTCAGCCCAACAAGTCCACACTGCCCCCCCGAAAAGCATCCCACCCAGACCCATCCCCCTACATTTCCCATGTCTAACCCACCTAACCTAAACAATCCTGAACACTATGGGCAATTTAGCATGGCCAATCCACCTACCCTGTACATCTTTGGACTGTGGGAAGAAATCAGAGGAAACCCACGCAAACACAGGGAGAACGTGCAAACTCCACGCAGACAGTCGCCCGAGGCTGGAATCGAACCCGGGTCCCTGACACTGAGCCACCTTGCCGCCCATATGTCATCAATGTCATTCAAGGCAACTAACCCTTTGACCTTGGAAGGTTAACCACAAGGAGCCATTTTTTATGAAGCTAACGGTGAAATGGCGCAAATTGGCAATTTATGGCAATTTGCAATTCCCAGATCATCCACTCCCGTCTACACATTATCAGCCTGAATTTCACATCAAAAACAACAGCATGGGCCATTCAGATGTCATTATTTTATAAAATCTGGTCCAATATCTTGTAAATGTTTGAATTCGTAGTAAACAATTTATTTGTTTGAGAAAGCAGGGTGAAAGTTAAGGTATAAAAGCAGGATGGCAAGAGAACAAAGTGGAAAAAGCAACAGAACACGTAAAAAAAAGTGCTTTTACATTTTTTTAATGGTATAGTTATAAAGCTGGTCCTGTTAAAGAGTTTTAAAATCTAGAATTCCTATCCATTCTTTCCACTGTAAGAACTGAAAACATACAAAACCATATAACTAGTTAGCAATAATTTTTACAGAACTGAAAATAGCATAAGGGTTGGAGGAGTATTTCTGTCATAAAATAATACAATGCAATAGTCAACATATCAGCTTTGAAACTGTGCTATTAAAATGTTCTGCAACAAGGCATCTTTGGTGACGCAAGGGTAATTGCAGCTTTTGTTATTTTACACTGGGAAAATATGTGTCATCACTGGCCTATGAGAAACAAATTTAAATGATAGAAGCAAATGTTTATTTGATTGGTAGCACTTGACCTGTAACTTGCACCTTTATCTTTTCACTACAGCTCATGTTTCACGTCAAGCTACTGACGCAGACAAGAGGCAAGTGGAAGAGGAGCTCACTGTAACAAGGTCATCATTGATGCTAAGTGGTATGTGCATCCAGCAAAATGTATTTCCATCTAACGGATTTGAACAAGCTGTTTCATTATTAAAATGAACTGTGTTGATCATTGTAGCAGTAAAGTTCTGTTCACGACATTTCACCACACAGTACAGATCAGCCACAGAGTCAAAATGCCCATCAATGGTGTAGCAACCAGATCATGGCTAGAAATGAATAGGTAGGAAGCACCAAGTAAAGCCACTGCATATGGTAAGGAATTTTCTTGCTACTTACTAATCATAATCATTTGCTTCTGAACTCCACTTCACTGCCCTTCACAAAATGACAGAATTGTCACAGTGCTGGAGGAAGCCATTTTCCCATTATGCCCGCACTGGTTCATCCAAAGGAGCGTCGTGACTTAGTGCCATTGTCCTGCCTTTTCCCCATACCATTGCTGATTGTTTCTATTTAAATAGTCATCCGATGCCTTCTTGAATGCTTCAATTGAACCTAACTCCACCATATGTTCAGGCAGTACATTCCATCCTCTAACTACTTGCTGTGTGATAGCTTTTATTCTCACATCATATTTACTTCTTTGCAAATCACTTTATTCATAGAATTCATAGAATCCCTACAGTGTGGAAACAGGCCCTTCAGCCCAACAAGTCCACACCGAACCTCAGAGCATCCCACCCAGACACATCCCCCTATAACCCACCTACCCTGCACATCCCTGGACACTATGGGCAATTTAGCATGGCCAATCGACCTAACATGCACATCTTTATACTGTGGGAGGAAACCGGAGCACCCGGAGGAAACCCATGCAGACACGGGGAGAACATGCAAACTCCACACAGACAGTCACCCGAGGGTGGAATTGAACCCAGGTCCCTGGTGCTGTGAGGCAGCAGTGCTGATCACTGAGCCACTGTGCCACCCCAAACAGGAATTGAGGGCTCGTCAAGGATTTGTACCCAGGATCTCTTGCATAGCCACCTTGTACAATCCCCAAAGCGAGAACCATACCCCTAGACCAGTGAGCCATTGACTTTAAAACTGTGCCTTTTCATTTTTGGCCCTTTAATGAGCAGGAAAAGTTTCTCCCTGTCTGCTTTGTTCAGACCGCTAGTGATTTTGAAAATTTCTATCTGATCTCCTCATGACTTCCTGTCAAAGGAAAACAATTGCAACTTCTCCAATCGATCTTCATAACTGAAGTTTCTCATTCCTGGAACCATTCTTGTAAACTGAATACTCTGTCCAACTTGGCTTCTTGTCCTTGCTTGTTGTCACACACTGCTCATCAGAGGATTCAATACACAAGTCGTCTGATTCTACTGAAAGGGAGCCAGAAGGTTTCAAAGGCGATACACAGATGTGCTGAGTAAATGGTTGGAAGGGAGGGTGAGTGGGCACTAAGGTTCTCTAATACTACATTACTGGTCGTAAAACTGAGTAGAACATCTTTTACCTCCAAATGAGCATAAAACCCTTCAAGTGGCTGCTGAGGAGATCAAGCTAGGAACCTTGCAACATGACTATGGCTGCAATTCCAGAAGAGCGTCAATGATTTAACTAGAGTTGTTAAGCTAAGAAGACAAGTCAAGCATTAGTTCTGCTGCAGAGGTCTTGAATGCTCTCTTCGATATCCCAGGCTACTGAAGGAGGATGATAGACATAATGGGGATTGTTGGGTACTGCAAGTAAGTTTGCACATAATGTCATGTGGTACGGAGGAGACCAATGTGGGAACTCCGCAATCATCAACCTCCCAAGTCATAGCCACCGGAGAGAAAGTTCATAAGAATACTGCAATGGATAGATGATCACACACGACAGATGTTAAGGGTTTTTCACAAAGGTGATTTGTCAATTTATTTCTCAATTCAAAATTTTGTTTTATAAATTTAGTTTATGTTCTGAATTTTGTGTTGGTACTTGCCTTTGTAGTGATGTGAGTAGCCCCTGAGATTTGACTGAAGAAAGGGAATCATTTAGATAATGTGAAGTGAGTGGTAAGGATTATAGGACAGTTAGGGAAGGAAAATTGTTGGCTGATTTAGTTGAAATGTGGCTCCATGAGTTGCTCTCTGGGAGGTTAGTTGGTTAGATGTTCTGGTGGCCTCTGTCTCCTCTTGCACTAGGTGTTGCCAAGATGGTTAAAAGTCTCATCCCTCAGTGGTGAAGTTGGGCATTGTGCAATAGAGACTTGACACCTGAGGCAGTGTAAGTGCTGGTTGAAAATGCCAACTGTTTGCACAACGATCTTCAGAGTGACTGTGTGGATCCCATTGTAGAGCAGTTCTGTTGCTAGATGTAGTTTCCTGCTTGCACTCATGAGATGTGCTTGAAAGCAAAAGCCTTTATCATGAATTGCAAGGCTTTACTTGGTGGTCTGGCTGGGATAAAAAATTAAATGGAGATCAATGCTGAATGGCACAGTAGTGATTGGTACCCAGATAGCAAGGATGAACCTACATGATGCCCAAATCATATCCTGAAACAACAGGAAGCTGGTGGTAGAATAATGCAGAACTGCTGAGTTTCGCAGGGGCAGACAATGCTGTCCATGGTACATTGTGAAGCTTGGGGTGCGCCTGCAGCAAGTGGAACGACTCGTTTGCAGCGTTCTGTATGAAACAAAAACACTTCATGCACAGCTTCCCAAATGATACTGAACCAGGGCAAGTACCCTCTAAGCGTTTACTCTTCCTTTGCATTCCTGTGAACTCTGCTTTCTTCACGCTCCACTGATATTTGTGGCATCTTTCTTGATGGTCCCCTTCTTTCTCTCGGCCCAAAAAACAGCTTTATGAGAAAACTCATTCCTGAAGCCATGTGGGGCAAAGAGCAACAGCGCAGGAGCATAAAAAACTTCTCTCGGCGTAGCCAAGCAAACTTTGCAGGGATATCACAAAAAAAATCTGGAGATCAAACAGTGACCTCAAATCAAAAAAAAAGCAGCTAACCTGTAAATACGACTTAATTTATGCGCTCTGGTGAGGGTTCTAAGTGCTGGTTAAAACACAGTGCCTGGAGTGATGTCAACAGGTGGACACTAAGAAAGTGGAAAACAAGAGCCTGAAGATCCATAAAATAAGTAAATTACAAAAAGCGTCTCCTCTACCAAAGTGGCAGGTGACACAGCTCTAAGTGTGGATGTACTTTTTTTTGCCATGTTGAGGAACATAAGATGTTGCTCACTCCTGCAAAAAGAAACTTTACAACTTTCTGGGCCAATATTCTGTTTTAGAAGAGGGAATGCTAGTGTCACAGTGTGATTTCTCCAGTATTGACTGTTAGACAAAAACATCAAAGTCAGACTGAAATAGGAAACATCATATTGCAAGCAAATAATTTAAAATACATTGGCAATAAATAAATGTATTTGAGTATTTATTTTTATTAAGTTACAAGGCCATTTGCAGAACCATTGCAGCAATCTATAATGCCATTAACAGTCATCTTGTCTCATTGATTTAATACATTTATAAGCAGAGTGATAGTTAGCAATTTGCTATCTTACATTTGCAGTGGACATAGAATAATGGTTATATGGAAATGATTACAAGATTGTAATCTCATTGTGAAGTTCAAATCATGTCATAAACCACTAGAGAAATTTATATCTGTTAACTTGAACCTCCTCGGGGAGATTACAACTCAGAAATCGCTCCAAATTTCTTTTTTAAAAAATGTAGCTGTTTCCGTGTGGGTCTCACAGATAGCCTGAGGTCTGGAATACAGGTTGTGATATTAGCTGCTAATCTATCTTATCCCGTTAAAGTTCTGCTCAAGTCTCCTAGTGAGGAAATGATCGCAGTAAACAGATCTAGATAATCTGATCCGCTGGCAAACTCTGGGGGTGGTTTAGGGGTCACTGAAACTGCTTGAAAGATTCAGGCAAGAGATCAGAAGAACTCCACATTAAAAGATTGACACAAACTGTGGCAGTTGATGGTGCAACAGCTGAAATGTGATGGATATGTACTAGATTATGAAATTTATTCCATTTTATATCAGTTAGTTTCACTGATAAAGTAGTGAGCATTGCAGCAGTTGACAATCTGTACGTTCCATCTTGTTGATCTGTTATTCCCCCAACATGGGTTGATTAACAGTACCTTTGTTTCACCAATAACCAAGCTTATCTCCTCCTGACTACTCAATCCACAATTGTCTCGTTACCCAGGTGCTCCCTGACCCCAGTTGCACCCAATATCAATTTGTATTTGACCTTCCACCCTCTATACCAACACCTGGCTTGTCTTTGTCATGAGGCCCACCTCAGTCCAGAGTCTGCTCAAAACCAAACAGCTAACTTGGGTAAATGTTTTTCCATGGCTAGTAGTTGATTGACATTGCCAACAGCTCCCTTGATAATTTTCAGCTCTCCCATTTCAAATCTGCTGACATTTCAAACACTAAATGCTGGCATAATTTCCAACTTGAGGATCTTGAGGACTTTCCACTCTGAGGACATTTACCATATTCTAATATAAATTTGATAGTACCACACCTAAAGTAATACAAGAGGGGACCTGACCATTCAGTGAGGGAGACAGCATACAGGAGCAACATCAAGATTGTTAACGCTCAGATTGCTGCTGTTGCCACTCAAACGGCACCTCAGTTGACTCCACCTGCACCTCCATCCCATGCTGTATTGACTTTTCTTAGTGTCTGAGCTTGTTGTTAGTCATTCCTCCTCGCACTAATGAGCAGCCTCTGTGGAAATGACCAGCTCTCCCAACCCTACATGTCATGAACATATGCGACTGTGGATCAAATCCTGCCTCATCAGACACATGCAGAATATATTCAATAAAAACTGAAAGAACTCTGGATGCTGTAAATCAGGAACAAAAACAGAGGTTGCTGGAAAAGCTCAGCAGGTCTGGCAGCATCTGTAAAGAAAAAAAATTGTGTGTGTGTGTGTGTGTGTGTGTGTGATTTGAGCAGAATATGCTCGACCTGAATCCATATTGGTCATGATCTAATTTATGGGCTTTGTCTCAACCTAGCTTTCTCCTTAGG